TGTGTGCATGGAGGGTAAAAGTAATTTCTGCCCAAGCAGTACCCCTGTCTTCTGCTCCCAGCACAGACTGTTGTAATAGGAATGGAGCTAAGGATGGCAGCGGAAACCCAGGAAGAGACAGACAAAGATTCTAGGTTCTCACAACATGGGTTTGTAAACAAAGTGACACAAATTGGGGCAGAAATTCCAGTGGGACCAGGCAAGAGACTAGAAGACTGGAAATATAACACAAAGCTGAGTCCCATCCAGATGGTGTTTTTAATAAATTTATCAGGCTCATATGAAAGATAGTAATGAACGTTCTAAATGGGGAGTGGCCCATTCCTCTAGGGAGAGCAGCAGCGCACTGTCCATGTGTTGCAGACAGGTAAAGGCGCTCTCTCAGTCTTCCCAACACAAAGACCGCAGAATGCATTTCGACTCCTATGTGTTAGGCCGGCAAGGTAGGCAAGCTGAGGCTTGCATTTCTAGGACAAGAATTAGTAATCCAAGTATTTTCTGCTGAAATGGAGGAAATAGCGTCTAGTTGGTATAGTTAATAGTGACATTTGGGACTAACAGCTCCTATAATATGATTAACTTGGAAGAGGAGAAAGAATATAATCAAAATATAGTGTATGAAATATTTTAAAACAAGAAAAATAATTGCCTGGAAAAAACAGATAAAATATCTTTTATAACTGGGCTGTGGTGACACAGGACTTTAATCCCAGCACTCGGGAGGCAGAGGCAGGTGGATCTCTGAGTTCAAGGGCAGCCTGGGCTACAAAGCAAGTTCCAGGTCTGCCAGGGCTGTTAAACAGAGAAATCCTGTCTTGAAAAATCAAAAAACAAAGCAAAACAGATAAAACATCTTTTATGTCTTTTAAAGCCAAACTGTAGTGTTTATATATATATATATAAAGCCTCCTTCCTTTTTGTACTCCCAAATGGTTTCTTGTCCAAAATATTTTTCTGTGCCGTGGGTGGCCAGATTTTCTGTTGACAGGTCGGATTTTGATGAAAGAAATTACGAGGACAGAAGGGTCATATGCTTACGCAGCAGCTCTCCTGCCAAGGTCAGGACCCAGAGATTGATCATGACTTACTTTTCTAAGGAAATTTCTACCAACAAAGCGGTGTTTGTCCATTTTCCTCTATAACTTCAGATTTTTATGGCTTTGGATGAGGAGCTTTGTTAACAAGGGAAAGTACCAGAGCCCCATACAGCACTGGGAAAAGAAAGAACAGTCCTACCCTTAGGAAACTCGTGGACTTGGATGTTAAGGACTGGGACGGGGCTGAAGTGATTATCATACCATAATGGTTTACAGGAGGCTATCACCCATGGTTGCTGGACCCACATCCTATCCTCCCCATTCTACTTCCTGGTATCATTTTCTCTTTGCATTGATCCAGACCAAAAAGAAGGACTGAAAATGAAGAGAGGTGGCAGTGTTTTAACGTTGTGCTCTAAGAGACAAGAGATGCAGTTGACTACCAAGTAGCTATTAGATTTCCAACAAAGTCTCTCTTAGAAAGAAATGTGGACATGATTAGATGACACTGGTGTAGTGGGTCTGTGTGTGTACCTTGGCATGTGAGCATGTGTTCTGTGCTTGGCTTCTATAAGGCCTGTCAATGTCTCTCCTGGCCTGACTTCCCAGGAAACACAAGGCCTAGTTAGCTGGAGCCTGTCACAGCCCATGACTGATCAAGTCACATCATCTAGGGTCAAAATGTTGAGGCAATAACACACAGAGTAGGTGGGAATTGTTGCACGCTGGAGTTTGCAAAGACAACTCCCAAGCATGTCAGCATTTGAAATAATCATTGGTTGGGGGGGTGGGAGAACAGAGACTCTACCATCTTCCTTATTTTTATAAATGTTGAAAAATTTAAATATTGCTGTGTAGAAAATCACATGAGCCCTCTACATATAAGGTTTGGAGGGTGAAAGGATGAATATACTCACCAGGAAATAGAATATTACCAAACTTTTGAATCCATCCTTTGATAACCCAATTAGAACAAAAGGGAAGAAATAAAGGAGAGAAGAGCTCAGGGAAGCTGGAAACAGAGAACAGAATGTTAAGTGTTGGTTGCGTGAAAACCGAACTAAAACGGGCAGATGTGTGTAGGAACAAATAAAACAAAGAGAAATGTGTAATGGGAAAAGGAGAAGTATAAAAATGGGCAATCCACAGCAGGAAGATGGAGGGTGATGGTACCGGGAAAGAGGAAGATAAAGCTCCTTTGACAAAGGTGAGACAAGCCCATCCTGATGCAGCAGTCAGGCCCTGCTGATTGGTTGACTCCTAGGGTGGTTGAGGAGATGGAGCACTGGGTGGAGAGTGTGAACTTTACAAGTAATTTGGTGACCAATTTGGTACGATCTATGGAAGCTGAAGAGCACCATATCCCATCATACCCATGAGTGTAATTCTGTTTCCATATATGGCTGTTGTACATGTGTATGTACATATATTTACATATTTCTTTTAAAAAGAAACTCTTACCCAGAAACTTAGAAGACACTTTTCTTTGTAATGGCAAGGAAAGAAAAATGTTAACAATCTAAATGTCCCTGGATTACATTTTGTAGTATCTATAGGTTGTACACAGAACAAGGTGGCTTTCTGCCCTCCTTTAACCCCCATGTGAAGTAAGGTCATGTGACTTGCACTGGTCAATTAAATGTGAATAAAGGGATATGCCCCTTTAGGAAAAACATTTTAAGAGCTGCAGTTGTACTAGGTCCTTTGAGAGGTATAATCAGCAGAGCCATCTCTGTAGGCAGAGACTGCTTGTTTGGTTTCTGGCCACCTAGACCCGAATAATAACACAGAAACCATATTAATTAGAATACTGCTTGACCTATTAGCTCAGGCTTATTATTAACTAACTCTTAATCTTAAATTAACTTATTCCTATTTTATATTTTACCATGAGGCTCATGGTTTACAGGTAAGGTTCTGGGCATCATTTGTAGACAGAGGCTGTTCTTTCATTTCCTGGTTGCCCAGATCTGAAATAATCACACAGAAACTATGTTAATTATACCACTGCTTGGCCAGTGACTTAGACATATTCCTGGCTAACTCTTTTAAAAAAAAAAAAAAGATTTATTTATTTATTATGTCTTCAGTATTCTGTCTGCATGTATGCCTGCAGGCCAAAAGAAGGTACCAGGTCTCATTATGGATGGTTGTGAGCCACCATATGGTTGCCGGGAATTGAACTCAGGACCTTCAGAAGAACAGCCACTGCTCTTAACTTCTGAGCCATCTCTCCAGCCCCCCTGACTAACTCTTATATCTTAAATTAACCCATTTCTATTAATCTATATATCACCAATAGGCTGTGGGCTACCAGTAGGCGTCTTTCTCCTTCGGCAGCTACATGGTGTCTCTTTGACTCCATCTACTCTCGACATCTCTGTTTGGGTTTTCTGCCTGCCTTTACTCCATTGGCTGAAAGCAGTTCTTTATTACCCAATGGCAATAAAACATTCACAGCATACAGAAGGGAATCCCACATCACATCTCTGCTACAGAACTTGGTTGGATGACAGTTTGTGCTGCCCCATGTTTCTGAGGGCCAGGACTGTGTGTTCCTGCCAGGATACTTCCCGGTATCTTGAGTCTTGCCTCCAGTGTTCTTCTTCATCATCTGCTTCCTTAAATCCTGCCTTCCAAGTCACAGGAGATAGACGCAGCAGGGCTTATCCCTTAGGGTAGCAGTCTCCTGTTTTTAAGAGTCCTAGAGAGCTTCTTTTGGAGTTCTTTCTGCCAGGAGACTGTCCTCATGGAGAATTGCACCAGGGTTTTTACTCTTGCTTTGGAATAAGGGACTCATCACCAGAAACTCATTTCCCTACCTCCTTCCCCTCCCCATGTTCCTTGTCTGTGGGTGCTCTTCCTTGTCTGTGGAGAGCAGAGCAGTTAGTTGGCAAAGGCGTCCATCCAAGCTTGTCTCATTTGAAAGTAGACTCAGTTGTAAGATGGCATGAGGTTATATGGTGGTGCTGTTTCCGTCTATCTTTTCTGAGTGGATAGCAGTAGATTTGGGTTAAATGACTTAAAGAAGATTGTAAATTTTGATTGCATAACATGAATACTCAGCCTCAGGGATTTCCATGCCCTTGGCTTTTATCATCAGTATCTTAGTATTTCTAGAGCCTCTGTCATACTGAACAACTATAGTTTTGTGGGATCCCTTGACTTTTATATGGCCTTGAAGTGTAAAGAGAGACTCAGAATCAAAACATAGCTGTTTAAGTTCCTGCAGCTCCTGAGCAAAAGCAAGCCCCTGTGTGGCCATGCACTGTGTGTTCTGAAAAGGGACTGATACCGTGTCTGGGGCCCCTTTCCTGCTCTGCAGATTCTGAATTGCTTGATGTCTAAGTTTTTCACTCAACATGTATGCAGCTGTAGCTCATTAGACCAGATACTGGCCAGGGCACAGCTCAGTGATAGAATACCTGCTTAGAATGTGCGAGGACCTAGATTTAACTCCCAGAAACAACTGAAAAAATCCATCTGAGCTGGGCGGTGGTGACCCACACCTTCCATCACAGCACTCAAGAGGCAGAGGTAGATGGATCTCTGTAAGTTCAAGGCCAGCCTGGTCTACAAGAGCTAGTTCCAGGACAGCTAGGACTGTTACACAGAGAAATCCTGTCTCGAAAAACAAACAAAAATTCATCTAAACTGATGAAAAGTTTCTCATTGAGTTATACTTACAATGTATTTTCTCATTCTCTTATCAATATGCTCTTTATAATGCAATACTTAAGAATTAATTGCTACATATGGTTTAGATATTCCAACCTGAAGTTCAGTTTTTGCTTGTTTAGTTATTTGACATAGAAACTCTTATCTGAAGATAATTGAGATGTACTAGTTTCCCTTTTATTATTGATTTGAGATGCTAATTAATTAGTTTTGTTCTGAGCATGCTATAAGGATATAGTTGGCTTCTCTTATCCTGATGCCAGATCTTGTGCTTTGGATTCACAGTTCCCATGGAGAATGTTGCAACGATTGCTGATTGTGCCAGTGTGATTGAAGGAGTCAGCCGGAGCCGAAATGCCTTGCTCAATGGGGACACTAAGAATTATGACTGGGATTCAGGCTACACGTGTCATCAGCTGGGAAGTGGTGCAATTGTGGTTCAGCTGGCACAGCCATACATGATTGGGTCAATACGGTAAGATTTCTTTGCATTTGTTAGTTCAAAGAGTGTAGATATACATAATCACCAATAGGTTCAGAGAAGAAATTCTACTGTTTATTATAAAGATTGGAGGCAGGGCAGGGAGATACAGCTGTCTGTTTGAATTGTTTAGTAAGGTACCCTGAATTTAGACCTGAGGTCAGCAGGGAGAGAGGACTGGATGAGAAGCCTCTCTCCTGCGGCCTCGTGTGTGGGTTCGAAGCTTACAAGGTCATATTGAGGGTTGTTGTAGGTTAAAAGCATTTTCCAGCTTTGGTAAACACCTTTGTATATGAACCAGAGACCCAAATCAGAAGCCTTGTTCTAGACAGTCTTTTTAGTGGCTTTGTGTTTGAGTTTCTTCTTGATCCATTTGTTTTAAGACGGGGACTTTAACTTTGCTTGACTTAAAGGATTTTATTAGTTTTTAAGTATGAGACTAGTATCCCTCCCAAAAAAAGTTAGTTCTTAATGGTAGGTGCTATTTCTTTGCATTGTCTGTTTCCCCTCTGTGCCCATCTGCTCCGTCTTCTCTCCTCCCATCCTCTGCCCTCCCTTCCCCTAGCATCACCTCTCTTCCTGTCCTCTCCTCCCTTGGTTCTAAGGAGGCCTTTGAAGGCCTCATATAGGAAAAAATAAATGTCTGTCTACCTCAGTCTGCTGAACATGGAGTTGTTGGCAGGTCGTAACTGTCCCCCACATGGTGCTTTTCTACACTTGGCTTACTCCTCCCTCTTCTCAGACAGTCTGCAGGAAGAAAGAGCCAGCAGAGGAAGGCAGAGGGAAGCAGTGTAGCAGACATAGCCTGTCTGTGCTCAGGATGCTACCATAGCTCAGGCTGCTTTGTGCTCCCCACACGGGCTGAGGAATCAGTGCTGGATGTCTTGAATTGAGACTGTCCAATTTCTTCATTTCAGTCAGCCCCAGGCCAAGCATCACAGGAGATGAAGCGTGGGGCTAAGCACGCAGGACATACTGTTTTCTGAGCTGTGTGTATTCACTACCATGTTCCCACCATCTGCCTAATATGCGTTCCTAGGCCTTTGGTCATTGGCGATGTAAACTGTCTGTATTTCCTTTGCAGTCTGTCCCTCTCTACATCTGTGCTAACAGTTGTCTTTCATTGGTCTTCTGGCACTGTCTCCCTACAATTTCTTGGCGATTACCAATCGTGTCTCTGAGATTACATCTGCAATTTCTTGCAGCAGGCTTGGGGTGTAACTCATCTGAGCCAGAAGACTTGAAATCATTTAAATTGACTAGACACTCTCTTTCACTTCACCGATTTGGGACTTCAATTTTCTCTTTATTATGTTTGTTCTGCCATTTCTAATTTGAGGACCAGTCTTCCTACCAGTGAAGATTGAAGCAAACGGGCAACTTTGTACCTCTGTCCAGTCCTCTTTAATGGCTTCTCAATCCCATTCACTTACCTGGTCCTGGGTGCTCTTCTCCCAGCATACCATCAGTGTCTGTCTCTGTGTGTCTCAAAGCAAACCAGCTAAATGGAATTCTGTTGTCCTTCCCCGTCCTGTCCCAGCCACTGTACCTCAGTCTCAGTATTCTCCATTGGTTTGGTGGGTCCACACATCTTTGGCCAAAACCACAAGGCCGTCCTAAATTTATTCCCCTTTTATCTCCCCCTTCCTGCCCAGAAGTCAGTCCTGAGGTTCTGTGCTGCCTCCTAAACAGCTCCCAAAGTTCTCACTCTCCCAGCTGTGTAACCGAGTGAAACCTCTGTGGGGTCGCTTCTCTACATGATCTACCATCAGACCCTCTCTTCTCCAGCACAGTCCAGAGGGAAACGGTGTTAGGGACTCTGTTACAGCCTGTGCCCGCCCCGCCCCTCTTGATTTTTCAAGACAGGGTTTCTGTGTATAGCCCTGGCTGTCCTGGAACTCACTCTGTAGACCAGGCTGGCCTTGAACTCACAGAGCTCCACCTGCCTCTACCTCCCAAGTGCTGAGATTAAAGATGTGCACCACTACCATCCAGCGTTACCTGGTCTCTTGTGTCTTGAGACTACCCAAGTCGCTGTGTCGGTCAGTCCACAGGTCCTGTGCTCCTTAACGCCATGCTTTTGAGTCTTGGATCATGTTGATCTCATCACTTACCTCGTACTCCCTCTTACTCTGGAATACTGTGGTATTCCTGAGTCCGTGTGGGAATACTGGCCATCCTCCCATCATCCTCCAAGCTTACTGAGACACCCTCTGTCTTAGTTAGGGTTTTGTTGCTGTGATAAAATGCCCTGACTGAAAGCAGCTCATGGGATAAAGGTTGATTTCAGCTTACAACTCATGGGCCACACCCTAACACTGAGAAAAGTCTGGGCAAGAAGTCAGGGCAGGAGCCTGGGGACAGAACTGGAAAAGAGGCTGTAGAGGATTGAAGCTCACTAGCTTTCTCCTCCTGGCTTGCTCAGCCTGCTTTCTTACAGAACTCAAGATGGTCTGCCAAGGGTGGTACTGCCTCTCTGGGCCCTCCCACCAATCAGTAACTAAGAAAACATCCCAAAGGTATACATACCCACAGGCCAGTCTTTTGGAAGCATTTTCCCCATTAAGGTTTCCTCTCCCCAGGTATGTCTAGGTTTGTATTAACTTGACCGAAGCCACACAGTACATCTTAATCAGGCGTCGGCACTGGTGTAGAGCTCCTGTCGTTTGTACCAGTTGTTGACTTGTCGACTCCTCCCAGCCTTGCCTGCTACCTGAGGCCTGAGGTAGCTCAGAACTGGCTTCTCACGCCAGGTTGGACGTGCCCCTGCGGTAGTCCTGTGGACAGACTGAAAATTATAGCGGCTTTAAGAGGAAATTTACAATTTTAGATCTAGCAGAGAGCCTGAGATGGTTGCCAGGGTGATAACTCAAACAAACAAGGGCTTGTCCTGGGGCACAGCCACCTTGACCTCTAGCTCTACCAAAGACTTGAATTCTGACTGTCTTGAGCCAAGTGTGTTACTGGGCTCCAGGCAGATAGAATGGGCCCACCTGGCTTGATCTAAGTGTGGAATGAAAATGGTTCCTCCAAACAATTTCTTTTTTCCTGACTCAGAGGAGAGACGATGAGCAGGCACACAACCTGGGGCAGAATTGTATATCTCATCCCAGTGTGGCGCCTCTAATTTCCTGAAGCCCACTGTTGTCTCTTCAGTAAGGAAATGCATTCAGCTGCAGCACTGTGTAACTAGCCAGGCATTCAAAGAGACACGTCTTGGTGAAGCTAACATTATGTTGTCAGAAATGGCATTTGCCTCTTCTGTGACATTATTAAGAGGAAAGGAGGGAGGTTTCCTGGCCACCAGTGCCCATGGACAGCACTGGGTGTCTTGGCAGGCGGCAGCTACAGCAACTGATGTGCCCAGATAGACATTTATTGATGTGAAGCTAGGTCAGTGGCACCTTCTCCTGGGGATGGCGATTGACCAGCAGTGGACCGATTAGTCAGTAGCATGTGACCCTCCGCTTCTCTTGCTCATGATGACTAACTCGCTTTTCTTGTCACTCTATCTGTGACCACCCAGTGACTTGGAATCCACACCTAAGGGCAATGTTGCAGAGCTGAGCATTCTCCCTGGCACAGTGGTTGCAGAGCTGAGAACCTGGAAACTCACCTCCCCCTGTCACATAAGCTTTGAAAATACAGATTTCTTTATAGTTGGTGGCTTCTCAGGCAAAGGTCTCAGTGGTTGATGTTCTTATTCCTCATATGGTACATGGTGTGCTATGGTTAAGATCCTTCATTCTTTCCTGAGCTTGCCACGTGGCTATGCAGGCAAGCAGAGCTAACTTTCCTGGCAGGGAGAGTGCCTAGGCTCCATGGTCAGCAGAGCCCAGTCCCTGCTGGGTGTCCCCTGAGGTGTCCTGGGGAGGGTGGCTGGACACACGATCTCTGATCATCTCCCTGTTCCTTCACTTTCATTGATATAACAGATACTTGGCTTTGTACTGTGTATCAGATACTGTGGGAGATGCTTAGGATACAGCATTGAGTAAGCAAGCTCAGCACCCGCATGCCTTTGGAGCTGACACTCAGAAACAGAGTTACAAAAAAGAAACAAGCATGCTTATAGTGTGCTAAATTCTTGGAAGAGCTATGAGGACATCGGGAGGAAAAAGAAAGGGGGGAGACAGTTCAATTTCAGACTGGGTGGTCTGAGACGGGGACGTGTGATCAAGCACCCCTCAAGAGCCAGGGTAAGTACCAGAGACAAGTGCCAAGGGCCAGAGGAGAGAGGGAAAATAAGAGGCAAGGCCTAAGAGATTTGGGGGAGTGACAGCCAAAAGGGGTTTTGTTACTGTCTGCATACTTAGCACCAACTCCCCGAACCACTTCCTCCCCATGGCACTCCCTTTTTGAGTGTCATGGTGGGAGGAGAACAAGAGATAGGAGCCCCGACCACACACCCTGGAGGTGCCTTCTTGCCCTGCCTCCCTGCTCCAGCTTCTGGAAGAGCCAGCTTCCAGCATTTGCCTTGGGCAGGACATGCCTCCAAGGCAGTGGAACCAGAAACAAAGCAACTGGTCCTTGTTGCTAGGTTGACAGGCACAGCAGACTTTACTCACTTTTAGGGAGAAAGAAATTTCCAGGAATGTGGCTTAAAAGTGGATAATTAAGTAGTAATTATATCATTTCCTTGGCATTTAAAAAAGCATTTAAGATTTAAATAACAGGAAATCTTCAGAGGCTTGACCACATAAAAATACCAGGCTAGAGTCCTAAAACTAACCCGATCTGTTAGATCTTAGTTGATAATCCCCATCCCCATAATGTAGGGTGGTCATCTTTCTGCTTGCTGATGGAGTTGCCCTGTTCAGTGTCCTCAAGTCTGGGAGGGGAAACAAGCGTGTTATGCAATGAGCTCACCGAATACCTGCCAGCCCTCTCCAGCTGATAGATGACAGAGCTTACCTAAACCCTAACTGGAAGATAATCAATTGCAGAAACAATTTTTACATTAGATTGCAAAGAATGGTTTTGTAGTTGATACA